ACCAGAATACGGGCTGTTTGCAATGAAATGGTTGCGAATAGGGTTATTGAAATGGAAACTCTCTCTAGAGAAGAAGCTTGGGAGTTGTTCTGTGAGCAGGTGGGTGCAGTCGTTGATTTTCCATGTGTCCAACCTTATGCTCGAGCCATTGTTGAGGAGTGTGGGGGTTTGCCGTTATTGATCATTGTCACCGGAAGAGCCCTGACAGGTGTAAGTGATGCTTTAGTGTGGAAGCATGCATTGAGAGAACTTCTATTACCCAACACAAATGCTGCATATGACACTGAAGCTGTTATGCAACGAATGAAATTCAGTTATGACAGATTGAGGGATTGTGACATAAAGAGTTGCTTCCTTTATTGCGCTTTTCTTTCAGAAGATCAGGAGGTTAATATTTATGAGCTGGTGAAATATTGTATCCAAGAAGGTTTGATTTCTGGGAATTGGGATGATGCATGTAAGAGGGGACATGAGATCGTTGACATTCTTGTAGGTGCCTCCCTATTGCAGAGTACCAAGGGCGGTCTGTCCATCAAAATGCATACTATGGTTAGAGATTTAGCATCAGTGATCATATTATCAAAGGCAGAACGTCTGCAGTTTCTGCTAAGACCTTATTTATTGTACAGGCCACTTGAAAGCCCCGAAAGTAATAGATTGTTAATTGATGAAGGTTGTCAGTTCTTGTTGAAAGGTGGTGCAGGTCTGAGGGAGTCGCTACCAGCGGAGAAATGGGAACAAGCCAAGATGATCGCTTTGATGGATAATGAGTTATCCAGTCTACCAGAAAATCCATGCTGCCCTGATCTTTTAATTTTGTTCCTTCAAAGGAACAGATGTCTAAGAGTGATCCCAGCAGCCTTTTTTAATCGCATGCCTTCACTCGAAGTGTTGAACCTATCTAACACCAGAATCAAGTTCTTGCCACAGTCAATCTCGAATCTGAAAAGGCTTAAAATTCTTGTTTTACGCAGTTGTGAGCGTTTAGTTGTGCTCCCATCGGAGGTTGGATCACTTGGAGACCTTGAGGTGCTCGATCTCCGAGGCACTGAAGTTGAAAAATTACCTGATGAGATAGGTAGTTTGACTTCTCTTAGACACTTGGAAGTATCCTTTTATGGATCTATCAGCCCCAGTGAGTATGCTAAGTTGCCCCATCAATTGATTTCACCTGGAATAATATCAAAGCTCATTTCTTTGGAAACGTTAAGTATTGATCTATACCCTGGAGATCAGAGGTGGAAGAAAAGTTTGGAATCCATCACAAAAGAGGTTTGTAGCTTGACAAAGTTGACTTCTCTCTGTTTCAGTTTCCCAGAAGTGGAGCTTCTACAATTCTTTCTCCAAACCTGTACCAGATGGAAAAACCAACTCTTAACTATGTTCAAATTTGTGGTTGGTGATGATGTCAAGGGTATCGTGTCTCGGGTCCCCAACTTTGTGGTGCATGATTATAATCAGCAGGGCCAATGCTTGAGATTTGTTAACTGTGAGAAGGTGCCTGATGTGGTTGTTGAAGTATTAGCTCGTACTGTTGCCTTCTATTTGGATCATCACCTTAGCATCCGCAGCTTATCCGAGTTTGGGGTTAGTAATATGAGCGGGCTGAAATTATGTATATTGAGTGAATGTCCTCAAATTCACTCAATCATTGATTGCACAGAACCAACTAATCATGCATTTCCCTCTTTGGAGTATTTGAGTGTTCATTACTTGCCCAGCTTGGAGAATATTTGGGAGGGCGTTAGACCTTTACCATTTGGAAGTTTCACTAAGCTTAGAATTCTGCTGGTGTATGCATGTCCAAAGCTGAAAAATGTTTTTACAAGCAGCATGCTATCATGTGTCTCTAATCTGGAAGAGTTGTTGGTTGAAGATTGCCCAGCCATTGAAGTGATCACACTTGAGGATGAGAGCATGGATTCTGGAACTCTTAGACTCCTGAGATTGAAAAGGTTGACACTAAACCATCTTCCTCGATTGGCTAACATTTCGGAAGGCGCTTGGCCCTCGTTAGAGTATATTAGCTTGCATGGCTGCCCTAATTGGAAGACCATTGCTATGAACTCAAAAGTTGAGGTAAACTGTAAAGATTAAAGCACAGAAGCATTGGTGCATTTTGATTATGATTGCTCTGGATCTTAAAGATCACTTCGCCTGTCTCCAAAGGATGCATTCCAGTGGTATTATGGTTCTGGATCTTAAAGCTCATTTCACCATTGTCCATAGTTGATGTATATAGAACAAAGCCTTTCATACTGTCAAATAAAATTCAAAATTGTTGAATTTAATGCACATTTTTAAATCAAAAATGTTAATTGGGAAGAAAATGATGCAATGGCTTAAAGTATCCCACAATCATAAGAAGAAGTTCATTAGCCTTCCATGCAATCAATGACATTATGACAATGGTAAGTGAAGTGGATAACACAACACTGAAACCTGTTTGAGACTGAATGGCAATTGCGAGAGAGGCTCAAGATATTTGAAGCACTTCCATTTTTCAATGCAAGACTAACATTCTCTAATACCAGATAGTCTCAAAGGTTTTGCCTTAATTTTGTTTTGGATTTAAGAAAGTTAACCTGTCGGGGAACCAAAAGGAAAAAAAAAAAACAAGGACATGCAATGCAAAGTACTCATACAGTGGTGTTGCTCACTTAACAGCCATATATTCCAGTTAACCTGAATGCTGCATCTGATGCACAGTTTCCACATGATGGATCAAACTATCTTCAAACAGTAAACAATTTCTGCTTTACCGTGATCGCCACAACCACAAAGACAAAAATCATTCCAGCATAATGTGGATCATCACTTGTTTTTAAAAGCAAGACCAGATAGCATGCCAATGAGAATCTAAATCATCACCAGTGAAATGGGAAATATCTGACGGTAAAGTCAATCAGACCACAAGAGCTTGTACTTGTCCTGACCGACAACACAAAGAGTTCTCTCATTCATCATTGAGCACAATAAATATTATTCAAACATTAACCAGCAGATTGTTGTGAAGATTACATGTTAATGTAGATTATAATCAACAAAGTTCTTCCACTTGACAACAGAGAAAAAAAAGTACAAGATTACAAAACAAACATACAAGTTCTTCACTTGACTTTATTCGAAGTAGTTCAGCTTATTTGATTGGTTGTGAGAGAGAGGTCATTGGTGATAAACAGAAACAAACATACGTTGAAAACGATGTTTAATTGCAGGGTCACTTGGCCAGTTCAACTCATTCTCCCAGTCACTGGTGCATCTGATCCATCTCAATTTAATTGCGTTCGCCACGGTGGATGGTAAATCCTTTAGCATCACACACTCCCTGATCTCTGTTGTCTCCAAAGAGGGCCACTCCCATGAGACTTCGCTCCAAATAGTACACAGTTTCGGTAAGTTCCGGAGTTCTATAGTCTTCAATTTAGGGAGTGCCGCTGATACATCACTTCCAGTTTCAATTATCTCTTTCATCTCAAGACAGTGCTCAACTTCCAAATGTTGTAGCTGAACAAGTTGTTGGACAATCCCATGTGCCTTTGAGAATAGATTTTCTAGACTTGGACAATCTTTTAGTATCAGTTTCGTGAGCCTGGATAGGCTTTCAGGGCTCACCAAGCCCTTCCATATATGCACCAACTTTGGAATATTTATTATGTGTAGCTGTTTTAGGAATTGAAACGCAACACCTCCTATCATGTCACCATCAATGATGCTTTCCATTTCATTGCATTCTTCAATCTTGCAAATTTCCAGTCCTCCCAACGTATCGGCTCCAAAGAGTGATAAGCTTGTCACATTTTGATGACCAATCAGCTCAAAACTGTAAGCATGTTGTAGTATTTGCAAAATGGTATCAGGAACACTTTCACCTCCAGAGAATCTCAAATGTTTTTCAGTTGAGCATTCTGAGATATCAAATTCAGAAGGATTGTTAGTTTGGTGATGACCCACGATGATGTTAAATGATCTGAAACTGTTGCCCGGCGTGTTCTCCCGATTCCATGATACACTCTGGCATATGAACGGTCTTAAGCAATCCTCACCAGGAAAGTAGAAACAAAGAGTCGTTAATTCTTCCAACCCAACTAATTCCTCCACAATTGCACCTACAATATTATTCCATTCTGTGTTATGGTGGTCAATGCCAATGCTTAGTTCTTCTAACGAAATGAGCTTTGAAACAGTGTCAGGATGAATGACCACCACTGGATTCCCTTGAAAGTGGTTGTGACTGCTAACGTTCTGTTCAAATGAAACTCTCAAGCACTTGAGATTAGTGAGCTCCTGAATCTCTTTAGGGAGATTTCGAATCTTGGTGCGACTTATATCAAATATTTCAAGACTTTGGAGTTTTCCTATATCAGCTGGAATATTTTCTAACTCACCACAATCATTTAGATAGAGCCCTCTAAGTTTTATCAAGCTAGATATAGATGATGGCAGTGATATGATTCCTGTATCATGCAAATCTAGAACTCGTAAGTTTTGCATGCATGCAAAGAATGACACAGGAATTTGCGTCAAGTTCTTGTTTTCTTGGAGTAACAATGTCAGAATTCCAGAACATTGAGGTTGCTCAGGTAGGGCAGAAAGTTGATGTTGAATCAATGAGACCCTTTCTGCACACGTCCATTGTTCCTCTGTAATATTTGCACCTTCTTTCACTAATATGCAGTGCCTCCCTGCATTACACTTCGCAATACGTAGTGCAACACGCTGAAAATGCTCAAACATCTTGTAATGACGTGCCTTTATTCCTCTATCTAAAAGACCAACGTTTACAAATTCATCTAGGACAGTGTGACCTCTGTCACGTGCTTCCCCTAGCCTTGCAAACCTAATTAACTGTTCTGCTCTCCAACACTCAGTTATGTAGTCTCGATGAACTTCATAACCAACAGGGAAAAGTTCCCAGTACAACAAGCACAGCTGCTTACTCTCATCTAGATCATTGTATGAAAGTTTAAATAACTGGTAGACTTCTTCCAATTCTCGACTTTGTTGCTTACTGGGGGCTTGCAACTCTAACAGTGTATCTCGCCACCTTGCTGGATCATTCACTTTTGCTAACTTTTGAGCTATCAAGTTGATCATGTGTGGCATCCCACCACACTCATTGACTATTAAAGGTGCTAATCGAATGATTTCTTGCTTTTTCATAATATCAGCACTCACTTTCCTGTTAAATAACTTTTGGGCATCCTCCTTTGACAACTTCTCTATTTTGATATCCTCATCCGTCAGTCCACAGAAGGTTCCGTTGTCTCTTGAAGTACATGCGAACACAACCTTTCCGCAATTATGGTCATCATGAATTCCAACATCCCTCAGATTAATCTTTGAAGAAACTTGGTCAAGAAACAATAGATAGCTCTTGTTCTGCAGCTCTTCAGATATCTTTGCTGCTCTTTTGTCTGTGCTGGACTTTTCATCAACCGGTAGGCCTAACTGATCCTCAAGCACCCTTTGTATCTTTTCCACGCATTCCGTGTTGTCCATGGTAACCCAAAAGATAACTTCAAATTGACTTGTTTGACCAACTTTATCATGCAAATTTTCCATCACTGTTGTTTTTCCAACTCCAGGCGGTCCCCATATGCAAACTCTCTTAAACTCATCTTGTTTCAGCAAGTCTTGAACAATTTCTACATGCCTATTAAGTGATGGAAGATCATCTATTTTCTGGGCATGCCTATTTCTAAATCTGTCAGGTGGTGTCGGTGCGTTCTCAGTCATTATCGGGTTCTCAAGCTTTATTTGATCTCTCAGGGAAACTAACTCGTTTGTCTCCTTCACTACATCTCTTCCAAGCCTTATCAGAGAAGGGAAAGGACAGAGTCCACACAGATATTTGTTGATGCGTCTGTACTTTGTCTTCAGATGTTGGATTTTGTCTTTCTTTTCATTGACCCGTTGAAACCAATTTCTGCATTCATTTGTCATATGCATTCGACCAACATTTGCAGCCAGCACATTTTTCACATCTGCCTCTCTATTCTGCAGACGCATTTCTTCATTCTCAAGCTCCTTGAAATTCTTCCCCAAGTTTCTCACATAATCATATTTGCATTTCAAATAGGTGAACATCCACACGCCACATTTAGCAGCTGGCTCAACTGTTTGCCCCACAGCTTGTGCACCTGCTGTCACCTCAAAAGCCATCCTTTTCGAAAATGAAAACGAAATGCATATCAATGAAAACTGTTTATTCACTATATTTTGACAATACATGTTACAATCAAATACAAAATGACTATTACTGGTGCGATATTGCAGGTTTTTCTATTGATGCAAGATTCAATGAAAGCTTGTTACTTTTTTTCATACCTAATAATGTTATGATATTATTGACAAATGGATGTGGACTGATCAACACTTGCCCTCAACATGCATATGCTAAAATGCCCAGGCAAAACAATAATCTATGTCCATAATTCCCATAAAATCCTTGAGGTTCCATTTGGATAAAAGAATTTCGATATGATATTTTAGCGTAAATTGCTTAATTATTAAGGGCATGTTTGGTATCCAACTTGAATCCAACTTTTTAAACTCAAAAACAGAATTTGAGTCTAAAACAAATAAAACCTGTTTGGTAGCCCTATTTTCAAAAACTCAAACTCAAGAACAATTAAAAAACACTTCAATGATTAAAAACAAAAAATATCTGTTTTTTCAGTTTTTTTCTAACAACCCACAAGTTCTCAAATTTTTAAGATTTGAAAACAGTTTTCAAGTTGTATACCAAATAAGTTTTTGAATCTTAAAAATAGATTTAAGAACTCCTTGTTTTTTAAAAAAATTAAAGTTTTTGAGTTCCCTATTTGAATAAGATACCAAACGTCCCCTAAATTTTTTTTTATGGTTAATATAATGCACATGGAAAAACTCAAACTCAAACTCAAACCCAAATTCATAAATCTAAGTTCTTTCATCTAAGCACAAGTTTTGTGAACATAATTACAAGGCATATCAACAATTTTTACACTACCGTATGGATATGAAAGTGTAAAAATAAGCACACCTGGAAAGGAAATCTGCTTGGTTGGTCCTCTGAACGTTGTGGTTGCTAGATAATGGATTCTCTTCTCTGCTGCACCTCAAGTCAAGACTCAAGAGTATATGAAACTGTCTCTTCTCGTTTTCAACGGAAATGGAATTTTTCACTCTAACCAATGTCAACGACAGGACAACCTAGTCCTGCAGGGCCCACAAGTCTCTTTTTGGATTTTTCTTTTTGGTTTTAATTATTTATTTTATTTTTATTATAGTAAAAAATTCATTTTTTAATAAACTTGATTTATTTTATCAAAATCTAGAGTGAAAGGGTAAAAGTTTCCAGAGAAGAAATGAAAACAACTTTTGGCTTCTTTGTAACCAGCATACGTTGGTTCTGCAACTTGCATTGAATCTAGGAATCAATGCTATGCATATTCCCAAATTAGTTGTACCTTAATCTTGATCTAATCACCCACAATTAGGATAAACCACTATCATTAGAGACAGAATGAGATGATAAAAAAATATGTAGTATGAGTTTAGATAATCCTATGAGGAAATGAGGAAGCAATTTCCATAATAAGCCATCAGAAGAAATAAGAGTTACTCTCAATGCTTTACAATAAGCAACAGAAATAAGAGTTCATCTCAGCTTACCCCATAACAAATGCTGTTTATACTTGCAAATGTTCATCATAAAATTCTTTCAACAGCTAGATCATAAAACAGTATTTCACTTCAAGAAACCCTGTTTGAACATGGCTGCTTCGAAAAGCTTCTCCTTTTCCTCTTTCTGCATCATTTGAAGTTTAAAAAAAAAAATAATAATAATTAAAGAAACAGTGACTTTCCAACTTGCTGGCACATCAGAATTGGGGATAGGGTGTCCGCCCCGCTCACCATTAGCAGTCATTACCTGTTGCTGTCCATTTTATAGAAAGAAAATGGACTTACTTGATTGACTGAAGGAGGAATGGTAGCAAAAGAGAGTGAAGTTTCAATCTTTTTGCTGGAGAAATTGCTGACTCCAATTGATTTGGTGAGGCCAGGTCTCTGAGATTCTTCCATGGCTGCCCACACACCCTTGAAGTCCATTGGCATAAGGTCAACTGATGGGCTAGAGGATGAGATACAGGTCAAGATACTCCAATGGAAGATTTCTGCACACATAATCATATAAACAAACAAAACCAGTCACCCCAAAATTCCAATTGCTTGAAAGAAAAGAAAAACCAAACTAGATTGTGAGACTCTGAGATTTGAGATTTTGAGACTCGCTCAAGTGATTTCTTGAGGGCAGCACAAGTGGAGGAGCGAAGCATCACCTCTGGGATTTGGGCTGAAGAAGCAGCATTTGCCATCTTTAGTTTCGTATCTTTGGAAATTAGCTCAAGGTTTTTTTATCAAGTATCCAAGTCTGGTTTTTATTTTTCATCAAGTGAAGGTGGTTTTAAACTGCTAGATTTGAGTCATTCTTGGCTTATTATTATTAGACAAGAGAATGGTCAATTGAACTCTCCTCCTACGAGGCTGTGCATTGACTCACGGTCTTGAAATACATCAACCAGATCATTGATTCATGGCCATTATCAATTGTGCAACTCCAAAAGTGTTTAAAATAGATGCTCAAAGAATAAAAATTGTGAAAAGGTCCATTGATTCATGGTCATTATCAATTGTGAAACTCAAAAGCTTCCTTCACCAATCTTCTTTTTCCTTCTTGCTTGTAGAATTCTTCAAAAAAAAAATTTGCATACTTATAGCTCCAGTACAATGGAGGGTGTTCCTCGTCAATCAAATCCTCAATTGGACCAATCACCGTGTCCTTGCTGGGTCCATAGAACATTGCTATTGACAACCTTGGCTCAACTTTGTTGGTCACTGCCCTGTGGTGCACGCTCTTATACCTTCCATTACTCAAAACCTACGTTCAAGATACACAAATTCAAATCAAATTTCAATGAAAGTCATTTTTGGTCCCTGTAGTTTATTCCTCTACGTGAGGTACACATGGAGGTGACATCGTGAAAGAAATTGACGGAAATTATGACTTGTCCTTGAATTGCTATAATTATGAAACTACGAGAGCACAATTGACCAAATTGAAACAACATGGATGAAAGTGGAAATCAGAGTCACCTAGATTGATAACAGAGGCACTTGGGAGAGGATCAACAGCAACCCATTTCTCATCTTTGATCAGTACTTGAAGGCCAGTCACTCCCTCTGTTTGCCAAAGTATTGTGAGTGCATTGAGATCAGTATGGACAGATTGTCCAAGTGTGAGATCAGGGTCAGGATATGGTGGATAGTAGTTTCCTTGTGCTTTTTGAGTAGGATTCTCACCCAATTTCTTCTGTAAGCAGTCCTCCTCTGGGCCAAGCCCTTGGGATATCAATCCCAAAAGCCTTTTCACCAATGCACCAATCTCCTTTTCACATTCAGCAAAAACCTCACTAAAACCAAAAACCCAAACTAAAAATGAGCACAAACTACAAAATAAGCTCAAGTGTTAAAATTTATAAGAAAAGTGTACTGTCATTGGGGAGGATTTCAGGCAAAGAATTGAGAGGTTCCCAGAGATGAGAGAAGGTTTCACTCCACGTAGTGACCTTTTGATGTTGATCACCTTCAAGCTTGAGGTAGTAGTTGAAAAGCTTTATTGGCTTGGAGTGATCTGTGGTAAAGTATTGTGCTCTTTCTTCGGCAGGCAATTTGAAGAACTGGGTCATGGCAGCCATCTTTCTATAACATAACTCCTCAGGCACTCCATGGTCGATGATCTGGAAAAATCCATACTCTTCACAAGCTTGTGAGAGCTCGAATATGGTTGTTTCTTAGATCAAGCTCCCTGAGATTGGTTTGATCGCCAATTGATTCTGGAAGCTCTGTCAAGTCACTGAAGTTGCTGGACAGGTTGAGCACCTCATGAGTCGTCAGTCTCCCAATTGCATATGGCAGCCCACAAAGCTCATTGAAATGAACATCTAGATATCTCAGTGACCTCATTTCACAGATGGATGGAGGAAGGGAACGGATTTTATTCAAGTGGATTGAGAGCCTTTCGAGATTCAGTAGCCCATAACCAATATTTGTTGGCAAACACATCAGGTTGTTAAAGCTTGCATCTAGCTCCACCAGTATATTGAGTCAAAAAAGTTATTTTGAAAACAGTCACAAAGTGAGAATTGCAAGAAAGGAAGGAAACATTACTCGCCAAGAACAGAACACATGGAGAACAGATGGGACAAGTGGAAAAAGAAAATTTGAGACGTTACCTACAACGAGCAATGCTTTCAGGAAGGGCATACAGCTTGTTTCCTGACACATTGAGGAGCCTCAGGTTAAGCAACAATCCAACGGAGTTGGGCAAGGAAACTAAAAGATAAGACGAAACATGGAGCTGCTCGAGTTTCTCAAGTCCTGCTATTGAATCTGGAATGGACTGTTTTACCAAACAAATAAACCTGTTATGTAAAAAGGAGAGTGTTAATTCTATCAATCTGCTGCAAGCATTGGTTGGTTAGTTGGATTTCGCTCTAAATATAGAAAACCAATTGTGAGTGGACTTGTAAGCTATATTAATATTTCATATAGGATTAGCTAAATGCTTGATCTGGGACAGCATTAAGTAGACTAAAGCTATTGGTATGTCTAAATTCACTATGAAGCTATTGGCATATGTCTAATTCAAAAAGTGAACTGATTCACTGAAAGTTGTATGCTTTTCTTTCTCTAAGATAAACAAGAGAGAGAGAGAGAGAGAGAGAGATGAGAGTGGAAACCAGTAGCTGATTGTTTGACAGGTTGAGAGAGACCAACCCATGAAGCTTCCCGAAGGCACCTCAAAAACCAAGGCAGTGAAAGAAGATTTATTCTCAAGGAAAGAACTTGGATGTAACTTCAGAGTACTTCAAACTGCAGAATATTCTGATTCAAATAATTACTTGTTTGGTTTCTTTAATCTTCACTCCTCAGCAGAAAAAAATTATAACAAATGGTTGCGTAAAAAACTTGGATGAATGTTTAGAGTACTTGAAACTGCAGAGTATTCTGTTTCTATAAAACCTACCAAAAAGTGCCTGATCAAGGCTCTTGTTTTCAAGATACTCATAAACCAAATATGGTGGCTTCCTTCAATGCAGCATCCATACAATTTCACTAGATTGCGATGTTGGACTGCAGATATCGTAGCAATCTCGGTTACAAATTGACTCTTCCCTTGGTGAGATGCTACTGAAAGTTGCTTCACAGCCACTACCCTCCCATTAGAAAGTGTACCCTATAAACAGAAATACAATTCAGTGACATGAAAGGGAAGTAGAAAGAATCTATTTTGCTTCTCTCAATTTCTTTTTGTAAGAAGTCAAAGTCATTACTTTAAAGTAACAGATATTGATGTAAAATAGATTTCACCTTATAAACAGGTCCATATCCTCCTCTCCTAGCTTATTTGAAGGATTAAAATCTTCTGTTGCAGCTCTCAACTCAGCATAACTGTAAGTATTTGGTTGGGGATCTAATCCTAGAAGATCTGCATATTCAAAAGATAGTATGACATAGGTTTAAATAGTATGACATAGGTTTAAATTTCGAAACAACAGATCAGAAGTATTTTCTCTCAAATATGCCTATCAACACTAGAAAGAACCTAGAACCGCATGCAGAATTAACCCTTAATAATATGCTCATTGCTCTTTTACCTTCATCGTCATCTTTTTCTGATGTTTTTTCTCCGCATATATAAAACTGCAAATAATAATAGCAAGATCACTACTCCGACAGGGACTGCAATACCAACTATCAACCTAGTCCTGCTGTTCTTTCCTGGAGTAGTTGGTGTATCTCAGCAATGAAACAGAATAATTGTTCAGTGTCAATCAATTGACAGCAGATAAATACATTTAAACCATTCATAGGAAATCTTCATTTGACATTATATTATATACCTGAAGCAGCATGGACAGCCGATATTAGCGGGCCGTAATCACCTTGTTCAGGTATGCAACATGTTCCCTTACCAGCCCAGAACAGATGAATATCTAGGTAATTCTCTGTCACATTAACCTTGAAGGGTCTCGCAACTGCTCTGTTAACCCCACCTGCCTCCTTCGATATGTCGAAGTCCTTCCTTCTGAGGTTTCTCTAGGAAGCAAATGAAGAGAGTTAAATAATTCTGTCTAATGAGGTTGCCTTTACTTTAATTAGCTCAAGTTTTTTTTTTCTTTATTAGCAGCCTTACTTGAATATAGATATCAAATACACACCTTCCTAGACTTTGTGAAGTTTGTGTATCACGGCTAGCAAAAACCGTTTCTGCAAATTGCAATGTTACAGTATAAGGTCCATTCTGAAGACCCAGGCCATAGTATCTCAGTGAACCTGGGGAAACTCTTGAAGTCTCAAAAAGCTCTGGTGTCAAATCTGCACCAGAGACTTGCGTAAGGGTGGTTTCCACAAATGATTGATTCAAATTATCAGGAAAACCTGCATTGCTAACAGCCCATTTCTGTGTACTGGTTACATTAAATGTTGCTGGGCCAAGAGCTGAGTCTTCAGCCTCATATAATATGCCATCATTTCCTCTCATTTGTGGTCCTCCACACTTGATTGAGAAGTTTTTATCTGTACAATTCAATGTAATAGCACAAGCTATGGTTAGTGAAAGAACTGCAAACTGATGTAATAGCACAAGATATGCTTACTAGATTTATCAAGACATTCCTACAATATGTATACATAATGAGATAAGCAATGCCTATTGCTGTAACATGATCTTGCATTAAAGAAATAAATGCTAGTGAAATATAGAAGAAGATTACATCATGGGGTATTTCAATTGCATGGAAAAATCCTCTGGAGGCAATTCAATCCAGAACACAGAGAACAATTATTATTTATAGTAATTAAACTGTAGTGGAAAGTGTAATAGCAATCACTTTATGTTTGAACTATCCGTCTAAAAGAAAGGGTATTTCGATTCAACTCACGTTATGTTTGAACTGTCAAATGTGAAGTTGTTGACCACAAAATTCCTGCATAAAATCATTAATCAATCCACTATGAAGATGAAAATTTTGTGTTCAAGATCTCAACATATCAGTACTTCAAATCCATCCCTTCTAATTTATTGAATTTCATTCATGTGGTATTATACATGCACAATGAAGGTGATTTGGACCATAAAAATGAAGGTGAAAGATAAAAAGGAGACATACAGTTGCGATATTGTGGTTACCCATGGGGGAAAGCTTCCTGAGAAATAGTTGTAAGACAAATCTCTGCCCATAACAATACAGAATGAGAAGGCACAAAAATGCATGAAAGTTCAAAGGAATTTAAGTAAGAAAAAGGCTGCCAGAATGCGCGCACACACAGAGAGTACTGGTTTCATTGCCAGTACATATAGCATACTTTTATGACATTAGGACTTACACAGTCTGAAGTTGATCGCTCTTTTGGCCTGGAAGAGGTCCAGACAGACTATTGTTTCCAAGAAATCTGGCCATATCAATTATAGGAGGCACCCAGGAAAAAAAAATAAAAAACAAGAAGAAACAAAGAAACAAAGAAACAAGAAAAAGGTCAGATGAACGACTAAGTTTCTGAGCAGGAAATTCAATGGCATAGGTACAGAAAAGGGGAATAATGAAGCAGGCCTTATTACAAATATGTAAGAGAACTCATGTTGAACAAAGAACTTGGGAGTTCGCCTGTTAAATTGTTGAAACCCAGATCCCAGCAACATGAGTGATAAGTTAGAGGAACAATTAGAATGATAAGAAAATTAATTGGTATCTTTGGGATTCAAGCTCATATATCTGCTGGAACGTACAGTATCTGTAAACGTTGATGTTCTCCAAAATCAGTAGGGATGCTACTATTGATTAATGTATTCCGTAGAACTCTGTTACACTACCAAAAAAATTAGTGGACAAGTAAATGGAGTAAGATTTTCAATTTGAAAAGGAAAACGAAGTTTGATCACAGTGCGTGAATGAATGAGGTGTTAACTTACAAATCAGTTAAGTTCTTCAAATTTCTTATGAAATCAAGAGACGAGCTCACATAATATATATCACTGATTCGCCTTCATTATCATACACAAACATAAATTATGCCCAGTAAATGGAGGGGAGAGAGAGAGAGAGAGAGAGAGTTTAAAATGTATTAAGCATTTGCCCTTACAGAGATTCCAATGAAGTCAGTTGAGAAAAACTGGTTGGTATTGGGCCTTCAAAAGAGTTCCCTTGAAATCTCCTACAAAAACATTTGAGATGCTTGTGAATAAAAGACCCATCTCAGCCATGCAGATCTGCTTTCATAAACTGCAGAAGGTTAAAAGTTTGCCATACTTACCCATCTCAGTTTTCTCCAATCCCCAGTGAAAGCAGGTATCTTTCCTGAGAAAGGATTGTCTGATGCATAGCTAAAATTCAAAAAGTTGACTCATAGTAAGCTCATCCCAGAATAGAAATCTCAAAGTACTGAATAAACAAAAAACTTACAGGATTTTCATGTTGATGAGCTTAGCAAATGTTGAAGGAATTTCTCCACCGAATCCACAGCTGTCCATGTAACTGTGAAAATAATAGACTGATTGCTACCAATTTCATACGATAAATGCATTCCTTGCTCATCGATAATGAATTAACAAATAAACCGCTCCTTTAAGAGAAAATAATTACACATTGCAACATGTGATTCAAATTCGATGAGTTAAATGAAGCACTCACAATAGCCCGAGATTGACTAAGTTACCAAGTTCTGGAGGGAGTGTTTCGGAGAAATTATTTTATCCAAAATACCTGCAACAAGTCATGTTGAAGAGGGATAGAATTAAATGATATGGGGTTCTATATCTAACATGTCCCAATTGAGCATTTCTCAGTTGTCTTTGCTTACAGCATGGTTAGCTCCTTATGGTTTCCAAGCTCCTTAAGGATGGGCCTGGAGAATGAATTGTTAGCTCCTTAAAGATTTTAGCACCCGTTTATAATTCAGGATAAAAACAGAGTTATTTTATGTATAGTACTATGTTCTCCTTTGGCCATATGGTATAACTCAATTGGGAGTCTATGTTTCACTACTTACAATACTTTCAACGCAGACATATTGCCGATGAATGCTGGTAGGGGACCGGTGAAATAGTTCAGATCAAGTTTCCTACAAGAATTGAAACAAAATGCAATGACCAGCGATTAATCTCTGAGTATAAAAAGTATTCGCGACAATTTTGAACATTAAGAAACCTGTGTCTTTTATATGAGAAGGGAGTTGGAAAAACTTCATACAAAACGGCCAGATATCTTAAAGCCTCAAATTCTTTTGGAAACACCCCTCGTTTGTCCAGAGCATGAACTCGACTGGAAAGAAAAAGGATTGAGCAGTTAGGCACTTAACATTACAATTGATATGTCAGGCATGTTCTGCTTAGTTTTCTAAACTTGATAATTAATTGATTTGCTACAGTCAACAACACAAGACTAACGAATATGGAGAGAGAGGGGGAGAGAGAGAGAGGAGGGTAATAACATACAGTTTGGTGATGTGGCAGGTAGTATTTTTGTCATAAGTACAGTCACAAGTGATGGCTGGATTATTCTCTGGCTTTTCAAACTCACTTCCATTGATGGCAAATCCAATGCATTGCTCTCCTCCACTGATAAGCAGGGCTTGCATGTCCCATTGCTTGAATATTGAGATCAACGCCGTCACTGCATTCTCAATTCAATCATTGCGTACACCACATAACGTATTTATGCTATACCTGAAACATGGCTAGTACCTTCAGATGGATCGGAAGTAGCATTTTGAGCCATGGACACATGAAACCAGAAGCAGCTGAGAAAGCATAGACTGCAAAAGAAGCCAAAGGACGCTGAAAGAGGACATTGTTGTTTCAGACTTTCAGTCAATCGCAGTGTTCGAAAAATCGGCCTAGGCGGGCGGCTAGGTCGCTAGGCGGGCTCGAGGGGGCTAGGCTGTCGCTATGAAGGAGCGAGGCGGCTAGGCGGTTGCTAGGCGGGCGCGAGGCGGCTAGGCGGTCGCTAGGCGGGCGCGAGGATGCTAGGCGGTCGCTGGGAGGCCAGGTGGTAGCTAGGCGGGCGCTAGGCGGGCGCTAGGCGGGCGCTAGGCGGGCGCCTAGCCGGTTGGGTCTTTTTTCATTGCCGAACCCGGAGGACGAAGCGGCCGAAACCAAACAGAACAAATCGAAGCTTGAGTTGATAGAGAATCGAAATGGCTTGACTGCGAGTGCAAGCTTCGTGTTCGCCTGGAATATATTTAAAAAGTATAGCCGCTCGGCTATAAGTTTAAAATATTCTAATCTCCTTGAATTGGCAATAAAGAAACAAGGCCTTACTGGATATTTTGGATGACAAAATGTCAAATTGTCAAGGATGATGAATTGCCGAGCAATTTGATGATGTGGAAACTAAGCCCTACTAACGTCATCATAGAATCGATTTTTTTAACACAAATATTTTTTTACCGGATAATTATCCTTTTTTTATTTGACACAAGTTTTCAACCATTAGATTAGAGTACAATGACTAGTTAAAATAAAACAAACTAATTTTTTATATATATTTTTTTAAATATAATGATATATTTGTAATTAATTTTTTATTGACTTTCCCATTTCATTTTCTCTCTCTGTATTAATATTAGGCTTTTTTTTATATATACCCCCTAAAAATGTATTTTGCCTCCTGAATAAGAACGAATCTATGTACATGTTAGGCTTGGGCTCTAGTACATTGTAAAATTTTTAAAATACTAAACTTAGTACAAATTTTATAAGCTAATCCTACTCCAAAAAATATTAGCCCACGTTCTCTTTGTCTCCTGGCCTGTGATTGTTTTTTGTTTAATATTAGCTCACCTCTTTTGACTTAAAAAAACACATTTATGACTGCTTTTGGAACAAATAACATGGTACTAATAATAAATTACTATCAAAACAAACATGGGAAATATTTAATGTCTGCCAACATGAAAATTTAATAATTTCTTCATGCTCTATGTTCCCTAGTGGCCCTAAACCATTCCTTTTGTTGCCAAAATAAACTGTAAACCCCTCTTCTTTGGCTCTATTTTAAATATTTTTACGAGTATCAACTAATTAAGGTGGTTTTGAAGTTGAAACTCCAAGGCTTGAGGTTAAATAGTGGCTAGTCTGGTCCTTCTGTAGTTTGAATTGCTTCTGTTGAATTTCATTTGCATTGCTTCTTCTAGCTGCATAGTATTTCCGAGAGAAGGAGAAAGGTTTGTTATTATATTATTATTATTATTATTTTACATGGAGTCTCCAAAGCCAAGAAAAATGTTAGCCCCCTTTCTTCAATCCGTCCTTGCCCTTGAAACTCATTTTGTCTCACTTTACTCCATTTTCCACACATATTTGCCTCACTTTGCCTCGATTCCACTGAGGCCAACAATTTATGGTCAAAGTATTAATTAAAAGCTCAATTTTAAATAAGATTAAGTATTTAAAACATAATGTATATTAATTGAGTTTTTAATTTTTAATTAATATTTTGACCGGAAATTGTTGGCCTTGCCGGAATCTAAACAAAGTGAGACAAATATGTGTGAAAAAAAAAGTAAAGTGAGACAAAATGAGTTTCAAGAGGCAAAGGGAGACTCAAATACACTTTGAGGGGGCATATCATAAAATAAGCCTTAATATTTTGGGAGCTTTAAGTCCTGTTTGGTATCCTACTTAAAAAAGTAAATTCAAAAACTATGATTCTTGTTAAAAACATGAGTTTTCAAAGAGTGATTTTAAGATCATAAACTTGTTTGGTATTGAACTCCAAACTATTTTCAAGATCTAAAAAATTGGAATTAAATGAGCCCAAGAAAACATGTGTTGTATGACAACATAAGTTAAATGAGCCCAAGAAACACTATGGCTAAAATACAAGGATGGGGTTTTGCTTCATCTTTTGTATTGGCTTATATAAGCCACACTTAGACCGTTTTCTTTCTAGGGTTTGAAGAATCCAACTTTGGAGTGGGTTTGAGAGGAGAGAAATCTCCACTCTACCATGCTAGAACCGGCCACCAAGAGGAGAGGGCTAGCACCTTACCTCCTCTTGGTCATCTTCTTCATCTCTTACACTACTCTTGTGTGTATGAACTAGAGGGTATCTACTTTGGTACCTTGTGAAGACTCTATAAAGCAAGCAACAAGGAAGAAGGTCTTTCCAAAGGTGAAAACTCGAAGACCATCCAAGAGAGCTTCAAGGATAAGAAGGTCTCATCCTTTCCTCCCTTTTCTTTTGTGCATAAGTGAGATTATACCTAGAAAGATACTTGGAATTTGGTAGCATTAGGTTTAATAAGATCTAATACTTGGAATTTGGTAGCATTAGGTTTAATAAGATCTAAAAGTCGCTTCCGCCTCTTTGAATGTTTGATTCATGTATGTTGTAGCTTAAAATTCATGAGTTTAAATTTAAATGCATGTTCCCTTCAGAGGCTGAGTTATGAAGTCTCCTTAGAGGTTTGCAAATGGCTTGGGCTAAGGGTCCCCTTGATGTTGAATGTGACTCTTTTATCTGTTGTTTCTCTCACTACTACAAAAAGTGAAAAAGACGACCAGAAAAACATGACGGTCTAAGTGAAAACCGTCGTTGTTTTTTAAAAGACGACGGTTTTATAAAACCGCCGTGTAATAACACATTAGACAACTAAAAAATAGAGTTTCAAATGGTTGTTCATAAAACATGACGTACTTAATTTAAAAACCGACGTCTTATTGAAATAGGATTTTCAAGAGGTAAAATCATAGCCAACAAATAACGGCGGAAGTTATGAACCGACCGACGTAGAAAGTAAAGACGACGGTTTCAAAAAAAAGCCATCGTTTTTACCCGAAAATTAACACGACCAAGTTTTCGTATAAGGCGCCGTATAATTACAAATAAATCCACGGCGGTAAAATACAAAATACCGCCGTATTAAATTAATG